ATTTATTATATTCCTTTGATTTGAATGCTCCACAGGTTTCAGTAAAGCCCTACAGGAACAATGCTTTCCCATTCTATTAGCTGAAATCTATCTACCATATCTGCTCGGGGAAAATTAATATTTTTGGTATATTAAAACATTTGTGTATTTCAACATATCTCTGAGATATGTTAGATTAAAATATCTTTACATCTGCTTATTATAAACTTTTGCTCTTCAGCATACTATGTAAAATGTTTATTTTTGAATAAAATAAATTAGAAATAGCCCTTTTATTATAACAATGTGTTAATCATGCCACATAGCTTTCAATTTGGAGGTCATCTGTTTTCATTCTCTAAGTGAGCCAAAGAATCACAATGGTGATTCAACGATGGTGTCCTTATCATCACAGTTGACGCTTTCACCATTTTCCTCATGCAGCAACTAGGTGTTCGATCCATGTCACTTAAAACATGCAGGTGGCTTCACTGCCCTGCCTCTATCCAGGAATGTAATAGTGTACATAGCCCCAATGAGCACATCCTTTTTAAGAACTAAATGACCTCTTGATAGCATGGGCATGAGAGGAAGCACGTGACCTCTTTATGCTACTAGGAGAACACAGTGTGTTTCCCAAGTGGGGGTCATCTGCCCTCATCTGGAGGGGACTGGAGATGTGTGCGGGGGTGTTTAGTTGTCACAGTAACTGGAGTCTGCTACGGACATTCAGCCCCTGGGGGTCAGGAACGACAACTTCTTACATCACAAATAGCCATCTCACGCTAGGAGAGATGTCCAATTCAAAATGCCAAGTCTTTGGGAGGGGGGACCGGGATGGGGAATACATGTAAATCACTCTGCAGACCTCTCCCCGGAGCAGTGGGGGCCACAAGGTACGGGAGTCCTCAAACAAGGAAGGGTGTTCAGAAGATGTTGTGCAGTCACGAGCTGCGAGAAATGCCCACGAAACCATCAAAAGCCCTCATCACATCCTCTTCTAGGAAGACATTTCCCAAGCTTGGACCTGATAAAAGCAACCTCCAAAACTGCCTTCCAGAATCTTAAAAAGATATACTTAGTCTCTCCCACTGCTGCATATGCATTCTGCTTTCCCTACCTCAATCAGCATATCAGATAATTCTTGGATTGGTGTGTACATATCACTTCTGTTTCTTTCCTCAGCACTGTAATTCCTATCCAACTGTAAGTCTCTTTGTTTTTTTGTCCTCTCACCTTCGTCTTTAGATATATTATGTGAGCATTTACCAAAAAACTTAAATATGGGCCAAGATAATATATTTGTGGTTAAAAAAAGCCAAAAAAAAAGAAAAAGAAGTGTTCTTTGGTTCAAAGACATAACCATGGTGATTTTGTGCTCATGTGGTTTTTGGCAGGAAGCGTGGGGAGTAATTGGAAATGCTGCACCCATTTACTATATAGTTACCTAAGAACAAGCATACCGTACAGTGAAGCAGCTTAAATGGACGAGACTGCAAACAAAGATGGATCAAAGAATTTTACATATAGATATACAGGGCAGTGTCTTAGAAGAGTGGGCTTTCAGAAATCATTTGAACCACTAAAGGGGAAGCAATGTATGTTTCCCAAAAACAATGAATCAATTTCTCAGTTTTAGTGTATCTATCTTTGATGCTTTAATAGAACTTCATAACCTTTCAAAGTGTATTGCAGTTTACATTTTAAAATCATTCCAAATTGCCTGAATTTATCAGTTACATTTAATGACTGCAAATAAGTAGCTTTGAGGACATTACACAAGAGATGATAATAGCACTACCTTCCTTTGGCTCTCAAATTACCTTATAAACAAGCTTTCTTATCCCCAAAATAGTGTTCCAGGAAAGAATTGTTGTGAATTTTAAATTCACTGACTGAAGAGTGAGTTGCTCTAATATTCATTTTTACTGTGTATGAATAATCTAGGGGTCTGTCTTATTAAGAATGTGTACTGCCATCAAATTCACGTAAGGACTTATAAACTATTTTTTAAAGTACACTGGGTTTATTTCTTTTTTATATGAATACCTGGAAAAGTTGGAATTCAGGAATGCATCCACAATTTAAGATAAAACTGATACTAGGTTTGGAGATATTGTAGGTTTGTTTTGAGCATATAATGAAATAAATTTTTAATTTGTTGTATAACATGGTAACTGGTTTATGAATTGGTGATCAACTATAGAGGTGCAAACATATTGTGTTAGTCTTATGTCTGAAGGGACATCTAGAATATGAAATCAAAACTGTTTTAATTATCTCCTTATGGGAACATCTGGCTGCTGAGATGACACGTAGAAGCACATTGGGGTTTTAGAGGGAATAGTTTGAATCTTAAGTCTGCTCTAGCTATAACTAGTATATTTCAAAGGTCTGAAGTTTAGAATGAAAAGTAGAGTAATACAACAATCATCTAAGATGCTACTCTTGCTATTGTTCAGTCGCCCAGTTGTGTCTGACCTCATGGACCGCAACACCCCAGTTCTCCCTGCCCCTCACTATCTCCCAGTTTGCCCAAGTTCACGTCCATTGCATCGGTGACGCCATCCAGCCATCTCATCCTCTGATGCCCTCTTCTCCTTCCACCCTCAATCATTCCCAGCATCAGGGACTTCCAATGAGTCAGCTGTTCTCATCAGGTGACCAAAATACTGAAGCTTCAGCTTCAGCATCAGTCCTTCCAATGAGTGTTCAGTGGTTTCCTTTAAGATTGACCGGTTTGATCTCCCTGCTGTCCAAGGTACTCTCAGGAGTCTTCTCCAGCACCACAGTTCAAAAGCATCAATTCCTTGGCACTCTGTCTTTTTTACCATCCAGCTCTCACAACCACATGTGACCACTGGAAAGACCATAGCCTTGACTACACAGACCTTTGTTGGCAGAGTAATGTCTCTGCTTTTCAACACACAGTCTATGTTTGTCGCGGCTATCTATGCTATAAATGAGACCAAGTTCAAAGCTAGCAGAATCTTGTCCTGCTGTTGAAAATATTATTTTTTTTGACATTTTAAAAAGTATTCATATAGGGTCTACTATTTTACCAGTGACAGAAAATGTTGGAATCTGATCATAAAAGTAAATTTGTGCCTACATGACGCTGTCAAAGCCTTCTAGAAATTTCAGTCTCTTGTTGACAACAGATCTACCTGAATGGCCTAAGCAAGAAGGTCTCACATGTGGGTAGCTGGTTGAGACATGGCATCAGCATGAATACCATCAAAATAAAGTCACAAAGAGACTAGATCCCTGGAAATCACCTAGCCCCAAACTGTTTCAATTCAGAAAAGGGAACTGGTTTGTTTAGAATCACCTTTGGTGCGATACAGGTCTAGAGACCACAGTCCGCCTCCTGGGCAAACTGACACGCTTTCACCAACCACGCAGCCCCCTTGTCAGAAGACAAGGCTACGTAACATACTACACCAATCGAGGACAACACACTCACAGATGATTCTTTTCCAGTTCTGACTAAATGGGGAAAAAGTCATTTTGAGTATTTCCCATCACGAACTTTAATTTTTGCAAATTAATGTCATACCTAGATATTTTTTAATGGAAACAAGACTTATTTTATTGTACACTTTTCATTGTCTTTGTAACCCTGATTAAATGAAAAATTCACTAGTAGTATTATATTATTATAATCTTTAATCCCTAAACTAAATACCTGGGTTTTTTCCCCTCCAGTTCCATCACATCAGCTGACCACTCTCCTATGTTCACAGAACTTCACGGTTGCAAGGGAGATGATTTAGTCAAAAGAAAATGACTTCCCTTTGTTCCACATTCTTAACTTACGAAATGACTTCTACTCAGTGGAGAGAGGAACTGCGGCGTTGCAGAAACAGCGTGGCTTTGAAGTAGAATAGACCCAAGTCTAGATTGAGCCCTACCTTTTATTAGCTTTATAAATAGCCATTTAACCATTTAGAGCCCTACTTTCCTAACTTCCTAATCTGTAAAACAGTACTAGTAACTTCCTAACAGGGTCACTGAAGGGAAGAATGTAATAATGTGCCTAAATCACTTGGCTCGCGGCCAGGTATGTAACATCTAGGAGGTATGATGCTTAATTTAAAAAACAGTAAGTTGTGTAGCAAGTCATGTAACTCCAGATTGCAAAAAGGATACTTTTTTAGCTTTTCAAATTGTTGGGAAGTGTTGAAGTAGCTCCTTGAGGATAAAGAGATCTATAGATATGCTGTAAGACGTGCTGTTTCTCTTAAAATACTAATAACTTAGCATGCTGTTTTCCTAAAATACTATTAACAGGTTATTGAACAGTGGATGTTGAGATGGTGCCCCAGGTCCGAGCACAGGTCCAATTGCCTAGCAGCAGTGTGGCCTTGGATAAAGCACTTTATCTCCTTATGACTGTTTCCTCTCCTAAAGAACAAGGCAAGCTCCCAAATATCTTTGCTTCCCACCTCTAGGGTTGACTCAAGAAGTCATCTACATACAATAAAACCTCCACCCTCAGAGAGGCTCACGGTTAGCAGCACCCAGGTCTCTACATCTGGATGCACATGCTCTCTTCATCTCTGCTACTGACATTGCTGGAGTGACCCACTGTGCGCAGCTTATGAGATGCTACTGAGATTTTCTTTGCCTTTCCGTTCTGTTGATATTCTCTGTGAAGCTGATGGATCTGAAGTGATTTAAAAGTCTAAGGTTAAAGGTGCTTTGACAACTTTGCTATCTTGGCAAGTAGGATAAGAACACAAAAGTTAAGAAATACTGAACAAAGACCTACTGTATTGCACAGGGAACTCTGCTCAATGTTACATAACAACCTAAGTGAGAAAAGAATCTGAAAAAGAATAGGCACATGGATATGTACAACTGAATTTCTTTACGGTACACCCGAAACTATCACAACATTGTTATTCAACTGTATCTAATACAAAGTAGTTTTAAAAAACACTGAAATCATCAGAGTCCCTATTTCTGACTTCACTAGATTCAGATCCTAAGAAGAAAAAAATAAATGAAGAAAGACAACAAGGGAAAACAATACATTTATTAAGAGGCATGAAAATGCATAAACTCACTTATAAATAAATGTAATATAATTTACCCAGTGAAAAAATAGCAAAAATCCATGAGTAAACTGGATTTTATCTTTGAAATGATTACATATTTGATCTCTAATAATTTCCCCCTCCATCATGATCTGTTAGTAGCAGCAATTTTACAATGATTATAGAAAAAGCTGTTACCAGTGATTATCATACAGGAAGGAAATTTTTAAAGAATATTCTTTAAAAATGAACCAGTGCAAGCAAATTCAGATTATAAGGGATACAATAAGACATGGGCTAGCTTATCTTCAGAAAAGTAGAAAATAAAAACCCCAAACATTCAGTAAGAAATGAAAAAGCAAACTATATTTCAATCATTGAAAAATAATACATATGAAATTATAAAACATTCTTAACCAGTGACTGCAATAATTACATTTATAAATGTTCATTCAAGTACTAGTGATCAATAAACATTCAAAGTCTCATTAAAAGTAACACTAGATATAGATACATGTGAACAATGCTTCTTTTGACTAAACAACAACCCAAGTCATATCAACAGGAAACAAATGACCCTTAAAATAATGGGTTTTATTTTGTTTTTTTTAGTAAATGATTTTTCACAGTCTGTATATTTTATCTGTGAGGACTCAAGGAACATCTCACTACAGCTAAATTAAGAAGTCTCTTCTATAAAATGAATCTTGATATTACAGAGATAAACATTCTAAAACACAAGTTAAGCTTAAAAATAACAGTGCAGAATTCAGTTTTCTTTGGAAAGAAATTGTTCATTCCTTACCAAATGTTGGTTTGCTGTTGTGCAAACTATCAGAACACTTCTTTGGTATTCACCAAAGAGCTACTTAATGAGCTGAAAAGATTTCATAAACTCTAGTACTATGGCAGAGTTTATGTTAAAGTTGTGCTGAAATCCACATCGTTTCCTTGATTACTGTTGTTAATGAATCTTCCTTCAAAGAGCTCCCTCCTGATTTTGGCCTGAATCTCAGGCTTTAATAAAAGTGCTTTTATCTCTTTCACTTTGGACTGCAGACCCATCCTCTCTCGACGCAAAGCTTCATTAATTAAGTCCCGGATTCCAATAGGTTTTGGGCCTATGGGAAAAAAATTATATGATACATTTCACGTACAAATGCCAATGAAAAAACATTAAATATGGCATACTGACTTATCAAAAGAAGGTTAAAAAGAAACCTCTAAAATGCTGCCCACGTTTTATAGAAAAGGTTGCATTTCACCAAAATATATCATTTACAAGAATCAAATTTACTGTAAGTAATGCATAGGAACATCACACATAGGACAAACGTGAAACACTGTGGACCAACTCATGGATAATCATCTCAACAGTGATCATTTCAATCATAGCACTTGCTAGCTCTGTGTGTGTTCTGGCCTCAGATAAGGTAGTGAAATGCCCTGCTAAGCAACTGAAGTGGCAGTACTCCATCTCCGCCAAGGCCTCTTCTGTGGCCTTTCACTTGAGTCCACCCGGCATAACCCACAGCCACTCCCCCTCAGCCACGGCTGGGGCAAGTGAAACCCGGGCCACGCTTCCTTCGTAAACTGATTTCCTCTGAGAGTCCCAGTTCTCCATTTCTCTTCTGTTGTGCTTCAGAAATGCAAACACATCAATCGGGAAAAGCATGAGGCAATCTTCACAGACTGGACAAGACACTTAGACAGCACAATGCGATGAGTCCCCCGACTCGGCAGAGGCGGGCAGGGGTGCTTCTCCCGGGGCAGCGGGGTCCTGCCTGCATGTGGGTCTCACTTCCTGTCGTCACTGTTGGTGCCATTCCTATCAGCCTCTTCAGCTTTCACAGAGCTCCCATCCCCTGGCTTGTTTTTGTTCTGTGTTTCTTCCAGATACTGCTGGACAGCCTTCAGCACTGCGTTCTCCACCAGCCTCTTACTGAGCCTTACCAGCTCAGCATCATCGGGCTCACCTCCATTCTTATCACCTACATTCCACAACAGAGAAGAGAGGTCACTGAAATCACATTGCCATAGAAACCCGGCATGCAGGGGCCAGCTAGTTCAGGGAGTTACAGAGAGCAAGTGTCCTTCGAGCTGGAAAACTGGATCTATAAATTCAAGAATACTGACTTGGCTTTTCATCTGGTACTTGCAGACTGCCTGTCCCTGAAGACTTCAGGTTGAAAAGCTGTTCATTAGCCCCAATCTAAAAATACTCTACCGCCTGATTCATGTCAATGTATGACAAAACCCACTACAATACTGTAAAGTAATTAGCCTCCAACTAATAAAAAAATAAATAAATAAAAATAAAAATACTCTACCTAGCAATGCTGGAAGTTCCCCAGTTCTACATGGGATTTTTGTTTTTCTTTCATCCAAGGCTGATCATTACTACAAAGTCCATGTACCCACCACCAGGAGACTCAGGCATGTGAAATCACCAGCAAGATGTATCTGTTCATACTTCACCACTATCAAATGTTAGGTAACCGAGACTTCCCAGCACACATGATCAGTGATTTTATAATACTTGGCCTGGAAAGTTGTTAACAAAGTCTCAGCATTCCCGTGAAGACACAGGTGGTTACTACTGCTAGGAACTAGTTTAAAATAAGCATGTTAAACTAGTATTTTTTTTTAATTTCAGAATTATCACTGCAATTTAAAAATAGGAAACTCTTACAGAAGAATTAGGATTATGACAGTAAATTACTAGATGTTAGTATTTTATGGCCATTTTGCTTCCCTGCTAGTTATGATCAAGGTTTAATTATCTTCTCATATTTCTGTAAAAGAGCTGGTTCTCATCTGCTCGAATGCTGCACATTTTGCACTCACTCTCCTTCCTGTCTCCCTTAACTGAATAGAAGAAAAAAACTAGAGGCTCACCTCTCAGGCCCATACAGTCCTTCATTTCCGTCCACTGAACCGTGGACCCAGAAAGGCAGATGAGTGACAGCGGCAAAGACATATTAGCACCTAAGTACATTAAGTAAATGCTAACAGATCTCAAGGGAGTGATAGACATCAATGGAATAAGAGTAGGGGATTTTAGCACTCTACTTTCAACAATGGATAGATCATTCAGACGGAACATCAATAAGAAAACACTGGACTTGAACTATACTTGAGGCCAAATGGACCCAAGAGACATATAAAGAACATTCCATCCAACAGCACCAGAATATACATTCTTCTCAAGCACATACGAAACATTCTCCAGGATAGACTGTTAGGTCACAAAACAAGTCTCAACAAATTTTTAAAAACTGAAATCAAACTAAGTATCTTTTCTGACTACAGTGGTATAAAACTAGACATCAATAGCAAGAGGAAAACTGGAAAGTTCACAAATATGTAGAAATTCAACAAACACTCATGTACAACCAACGAATCAAAGATGAAATCAAAAGAGAAATTAAAAACATATATTTTGAAACAAACAAAAATGGAAACACAACATACCAAACCTTATGATCCAGCAAAAGCAGAGCTAGAAGGGAAGTTTATGGTAATAAATGCCTGCATTAAGAAAAAAGAATAATCTCAAGTAACCAACCTAACTTGATATATCAAGGAGCTAGAAAAATAAGAACAAACTAAGCCCAAAGTTAGCAGAAAGAACATTAAAATCAGAGCAGAAATAAATGAAATAGCAAATAGAAAAACAGTATAAAAGATCAATGGAACAGAGGGTTGTCTTTTTGAAAAGATAAAACAAAAAAGAACAGATCTTTAAATAGACTTACAAAGATAAAGAGAATTCAAAACTATAAATGGAAGCAGAAATATTGTAACTGATACCACAGAAATAAAAAAAATGTCATAAGAGACTACTATGAACAATTATAAGCCACAAATCAGACAACCTAGAAACATACAACCTTCCACAGACCAATAACAAATTTAAGATTACATCACTAATCAAAAACCTCCAACAAAGAAAAGCCCAGGACAGTCCGGGTTTATGGCTAAATTTTACCAAACATTTAAAGAAGAAGAATTAATAACAATTCTCAAACCCTGCAAGAAAGAAAAAAATAAACTAAAGAAGATATAACACTCCCAAACTCTTTTATAAGATCAACATTACCCTGATACCAAAATCATGCAAGGATGCTATAAGGGGGAAAAAAAAAAGGCAGGCAAATATCTTCATGAATTTGGATGCAAAAAACTCAACAAAATACCAGCAAACCAAATTCAACAGTATGTTAAAAGGATCATACACCACAATCAAGGGATATTTATCCCTGAGATATAAAAATGGCTCAACATATGCAAATAAATCAATGTGATATATCACATTAACAACATGAAGGTTAAAAATCACATAATCACTTCAATACATGGTAAAAAAAAAAAAAACCTACATGACAAAATTCAACATCCCTTTGTGACAAAAACTCTCAACAAACTCGATATGGAGGAACATGTATGTGCATGCCAAGTTGCTTCAGCCGTGCCCGACTCTGTGAGCCAATGGACTATAGCCTGCCAGGCTCCTCTGTCCATGGGATTCTCTAGGCAAGAATACTGGAGTGGGTTGCCTTGCCCTCCTCCAGGGGAATCTTCCTGACCCAGGGATTGAACCCCAGGGTTTTTTTAACGGCTCCTGCACTGGCAGGCAGGGTTCTTTACCACTAGCGCCACCTGGGAAGCCCATGGAGGAACATACCTCAACATAATAAAGGCCATTAATGACAAACCCACCACATTCAATGGTGAAAGTTTGAAAGCCTTCCTTCCAAAATCAGAAACAAGGCAAGAGTGCCTACCCTCACCACTCTTATTCCACATAGTAATGGAAGAACAAGGAAGAGCAATCAGGCAAGAAAAAGAAAAAAAAAAAAAGACATCCACATCAGAAAGAAAAATACCTCTGTCTGCTGACAGTATAATCTTGTGTACAGAAAATACTAAAAATGACTAAACCTAATAAGTGAATTCAGTAAAGTTTACAGATACAAAATCAACATAAAAAAATCAGCTGCATTTCTATACAGGAAAACAAACTATCTGAAAAAGAAATTTTAAAAATAATACCATTTAAAATAGCATCAGAAACAATGAAATATTAAGGAATAAATTTAACCAAGGAAGTGAAATATCTATGTACTAAAAAACTGTAAGACTCTGATCAAAGAAAATGAAGACACAAAAAATGGAAAAAATATCCCATATATATGGATTGGAAGAGTGAATATCATTAATATGTCCATACTACCAAAAGCCATCTATAGATTCAATGCAATCTTTATCAAAATTACAATGGCATTTATTTACAGAAATTAAAAAAAATTCTAAAATTCATATGAAAACACAGAAGATCCCAGATGGCCAAAGCAATCATGAGAAAGAACAAAGCTGGAGATATCACACTTTCTGATTTCAAAATAGTATGGCAGTGGCAAAAAACAGACAGACCAATGGGATGGAGTTAGGAGCCCAGAAATAAACTCACACATATACAGTCAACTAATATTTGACAATGGCAATGATACAAGAATACATAATGGGCAAAGGACAGTCTCTTTAATAAGTAGTGTTGGAAAACCTGGATATCCACATGCCAAAAAAAGAAAAAAAAAAAAAAAAAGAATNTCTCGAAGAGGTATCTATCTGTTCTCCAATGTTCACTGTAATGTATTTCACGATAGCGAGAAATGGGAACAACCCAAGAGTCCATCAACAGGTGAACGGATAAAGAAAATGTGGTGTGTATCCTTTAAAAAGAAAGAAATCCTGCCATTTGTGACATGGATAAACCTTGAGGCCTTATGTTAAGTGAAATAAGTCAGAGAAAGACAAATGCTGCATGACCTCACTTACCTGTGGAATAAAAACACTGAACTTAAAGAAACAGAGAGTAGAATGGAGGTTGCCCCTCACTCCAGGGGGGAGTGAAGCAGGGAAATATGTTGGTCAAAGAGAACAAACTTTCAAATATAAGATGAGTAAGTTCTGATGATCTAATGTATAGCATTGTGACTATATGTAACAATACTGTATCCTAAATTTGAAACGTGCTACGAGACAAAACTATAATTATGTGAAGAGAAAGATGTGTTAACTAATCTTGCTGTAGAAAACATTTCATTCTATTTATAGATATATCAAATCATCACCAGGGAACACCTTAAACTTTCATAATGTTATATGTCAATTATATCTCAATAAAGCTGGGGAAAAAAAAGAAGTAATTAGAATCCTCACACAGTAAATGTCAGCTCAGTTTCTGGAATAACATCCATGACCTCCAGAAGCCAAAAGCCCAATGTTACACTTACCACCTCGGGTCTGGGTCAGGCAGACACAAAGGGTGTGAGCAGGAAGATGGACACTATTTTCTATCCTCACATGTAATAGGGGTTGGAATACAAAAGCAATATGCCAAGAGTGAGAACTGGCACCTAAACCCTCCTTCTGAGCCCCACCACTTCTATTTAACACATGTCCAATTGGCCTTCTATTTAACAAGGTCAATTATGCTGATACCATCATTCCCAGCAACATCCAAGCAGAAGAGAGATGGGTTACAGGCCCATCTGGACATGCTACCAGTGAGGGCCTTAGCAGCTGCTGCCTCCTCAAAAGTGACAACATGGCACCCCAGAGCTAGGCTAAAAACCTCCTAGATAGAATATTTGCAGGAATTGAGCGAGCTTCAACTCAGTGATATCTACACAGAACTTACTAAACATAAATATGTCAAGATATTATTAAAAGAAAGATAAAGAAATTATTATTAATGCAGCATTATTAATACAACATTTGGGAGCAAGAACTGTGGGGCTGGAGAAGACTCTTAAGAGTTCCTTGGACTGCAAGGAGATCAAATCAGTCCATCCTAAAGGAAATCAATTCTGAACATTCATTGGAAGGACTGATACTGAAGCTAAAACTCCAATACTTTGGCCACCTGATGCAAAGAGCTGACTCATGAGAAAAGACCCTGATGCTGGGAAAGACTGAAGGCAGG